TATGTTTGTAAAATAGCACGATGAGAGTGACATATAATACAATTGATAAGTCTGTCGAGTGATTAATAGAAACCTCGACACTCCGCTAGGTTATATTCAGCTGGAATAATACATACATATACATTTTACAAATTTTGACTCCGCGTTTTACAAATTTTGACTCCGCGTTTTACAAATTTTGACTCCGCGTTTTACAAATTTTGACTCTACGTTTTACAAATTGTGACTAGCTCCGCGTTTTACAAATTTTGACTCCACGTTTTACAAATTTTGACTTCGCGTTTTACAACATGCCTCCAAAACGCAAAAGAAAGTAAGAAACAATGCGTATCAAAACATATTGTGTAAAAACACCACCATGCATGCACGAATAACTAACAACAAACTCAGTAAAGAATAACAATTTATAAATGTAACATAGAATACAAAGTATAGCCTATAGAAAATATGCGTTCAAAATACTGCAGTCACAATAATTTGCCTATAAATATATTATAACGAGGTTTGAAAACCAAAACGCGGAACGCCGCGATGCACGAGACCAAAGACACTCATCGAACACGGGCGTCCGAACGCCGATTAAAATTCTAACTAACTTAGAAAGGCTAAGAACTAGATCAAAGCGCATAATAAAAAAATGAAGGCAGAAACTAACAAGCAAATGAGCATGGCCATCGAAAAGCAAACAATTTTACGAGCATGACATAAAAATAAAACTAACAATCACAGGTATACCCGTATACCTAAGGGTGGTAGGGACCCCATCCCCAGAGAAACACAGTAGAAGACACAAGATAAAGAAAAACATACGTTAGGTCAAACCCGGGAATGGCGTCCTGGCGCCCAGTAATCCGAGAGAGTCGTGACGTAAGGAACTCCTCCAATCACCGCCAGGGATGAATGGGAAAACTAAAGGCTCTCCCATGCAAGCAAATAGGAGGGGCAGTCAAGCGGACATTGCGGCGTTAAAAATCAATAAGAAACAAACAAACCTCAAGCGGCAAATCAGGCTCAACCAGGTTGTGGCTGTGGACCGTGACCAAGGCTGCGACCACGGAATTGGCTGTGCATGGACGCTTCGGTACAAAATCGGTTTTGGCGTCTATATTTTAACATTGTCGCCTTTATTCGCTCGCTTTTACAAGTACTTTATAGCGTTGTTTGTTTCGCCTTACAATCATTTACTATATTTCTGGCGAAGACAAATAAAGAAAACGATAATAACATTGACTTTTCTTTTCGCTAGTTTTCGAAATTAAGAGCAATAAAGAAATTCAAATACTCGCCAGTTTTGGATTAAAGCGAAACGAAGCAACGTCTGGTGGTCAAGCTTTTTAAACAAAGTTATACTTTACAAAGAAAACGTGTGTTACCTCTAGTTTTTAATAAATTTATTTTGTATATTGGCAAAAAATGTTTCTTTTGTTTCCATGGCGACAGTGAAAGACATGAGCTGGCAACAGAACGAAGCGGCATTATAGTAAACACCCTTATTTTTTACTCCAGAGTGAAAATTTAATCCGGTTTGAAAAGTAATCCGGTATATAGGGTAAACGAGGCCTATAATGAGCTTCATAAAAAACATCGATCGACACAAAATTTCAATTAAATTTGACCTTTAGGCTACCAAAGTATGAGCTTGAGACGAAAAGCACAATTTTGTATTTTTCGTCGCTAATAGACCTTTCCCCTTGTGAGTGAAATTTTGATCTAGATATGCCTGGACATAAATTTCAGCTTGAAAGAGCATAACAAAATTAGTAATATTCCGAAGTTTCGTTGCGAAATGTTGTAAAATGCGGATAATATAGCCTTGCGAATTGAAGTACGTTTGCCGTTTTTCAGTCATTTTGTATTACAAACGGGAAATTGATAATCAGTTTGATCATCTGATTATCAATTTCCCGTCAGTTGTAATACAAAATGACTGAAAAACGGCAAACTTCGCAAGGCTAATTCAGGGCCGTAGCTAGGATGTATATAGTT